TTTATTACTCAGGACCCAAGAATCACTATAACTAATACTAAAAAATAAATAATTTTGCCAAGCGGGTCTTACGAAGTTGAAATTAAGAAGTAATTCAATTTATTTTTACCAATTTAAATAGAATGGTTTATGACACCACAACAATAATAATAAGGGCAAAAATTCAATTTGATTTAACCCGTTACAAATGGAATTTTTTTTAATTGTTTAAAATTAAGAAAAATCAGTATAAGAAATCGTGGTTAAACCGACAAATCAGTCAAAATTAGGTCAATCTTTAATTTATTTCGAATCAAATAAATCTAACCAATATATTTCGATAAAACCGCTAAAATCAAGCTTAAACTAGCATATTAGTCAAACTGAAAATGGTTCACCCTATCAGAAGCTTACAAATTGAGACTTCAAGCGTAGGACGAAAGAGAGCGCGTATGGGATTCTGAGACTAAAAGGATGATGAGTGAAATGGCGAAGGGCAAGAGACAACCCCTCAATTAATGTGTCAGGAGTGAAACAGCGCATTGAAAGACGAAATAACGGGCGCCATCATTAAATTTAAAAGGACAAAAGTGAAGCGCGTCACTGACGGGGTTTGACGGCGGAGGGGATAGTGTCACGTGACTAAAGCCTGAACAAAATCACCTTCTAAAAAAAGATCTGCAGAATGCAAGAGGCCCGTTTGATTAATTCACAACGAACGGTGATGATCATAATTGCCAGAGATAGGTACATAGGCCTAGCTCGTATAAACGAAATGACCGTTCGATGAACCTGATTAGACAAATGAGGCAGTTAGTAGGTTGTCCTTAAGAGGCTTGACACAATTTGAGCCGCACACAATAAGGCAATCTAACGCAAAGGATCAAAGCAACTTGGCCACTTGCTTGACCAAGGTTTGGCGATAATCAGAACCGTTAAATGAAGATGCTAATCCAATGGTCAAGGCCAGGATCACAACGCTATAAAAAGGGAAGTAAGGAAAAGTAAATGGTAAGTTAAAAAAAAAAAAAAAATTATAAAACATATACCATAAAGTAAATATTATATGGCCGATCTTATGTCTAACTTGATCGTCAGAGGGTCCTCTAGACCAAATCTGGTTAGGAGCGATCACTAACCAATTAGTTTCTGTTTGTAGAGTAAAGGAATGGCTATCTTATCTCACATTCCCTGTGGAGAATCCTCAACCTTCCACAATTTTAAATAGGGTAAAGTACAAATACACTCATTGAGATTTGATTAAAATATGAATTGCCCCCTGTGGTTTCGAAAAGTACATTCTACCCCCTGAGATTTTTAATTTCATAACAAATCACTCATTTTATTAATAAATTATCAAGTCAATTAACAGTTTTTAATGATGTTAAAATTATGTTTCAATTAATAATTTAGGTATTTTTTTATTGTATAGGAGAGCAATTATGAATTTCATTTTTTTAGTTAATTTTGTTAAATAAAAAATTCTAATAAGGGAGTATTTATAATTTTTTAAATCACAGGGGGCAATTTGTATTTTAAACAAATCTCAGAAGATGTATTTGTAATTTACACTTTTAAAATATGATCGACATTATACTATAATTTTAAATTTACACCATATATCTTATTTTTGAAATAAATTTTAAGACAAATTTACGACATGACATAAGTGTCTGTAGGTATCTAAAATGAAAAGGTTTTCTAAAGTCAGACTCCAATCTCCATAAAGAGCTCATCTATTACGTTATCATTTTATTTTCACAAAATTATATTCTTAATAAGTTTTGAGTGTTTACATTATCTCAAAAAAATGGAGAAGGTATGGGAGAAATCATCAAACAATATCAGTTGGAGATACAAACACACCTTGTTTTGGACACATATGATAATTTTTGTTAAAACTTAATAATAAAATTATTATTTATAGAATCAGCATGCTTATTGCTACAAAATTATAAAATCAGAATGCATATTACAAAATTATAGATTAAAACAATACACATGATTTAATGATTTATGAATAATTGTGTGTATTTAGATGTTAAATACTATGCAGATGAAACATGTTCTGTAAAATTATTTATAATATATAATATAAAATAATGTTATAAATTTGTATTCATGTATTTACAATCAAAAGAGCCTTCAGAACAACATATTATTTAAAAAAAATCACTATTATATAAGGTTTTATTTATTTATTTATTGATATACACTTTATGTATATAAATAAATTTTTTAAAGCAAAAATTTTAATGTATACATTATCTGCACTCTATCCTGTTTATGTATAAATCAGATATAATTCTAAAAAATAATTATATATTCATGAAAAAGTTAATGACTTCATAGTTAAAATTTATAAATTTTATCATTATTTCGGAAAAAAATTTAAACTACACACTGATTGGTCATTTCCCCTAATGTAAATGCACATTCTATCTTAGTAATACTAAGATAACATATTCACATGTATTAAAGGCATCATAAACATAATTTTATAAGATTTAGCCTCTATTTGGGAAGTGGGTGAGTTTTTTGGCTTTTTGATTTTTTTTGACTATTTTAGCCTAGACTAAAAAACTTGATTTGGGAAGGACTTTTTAACTTTTTTGACTTTTTTTATAAGAGAAGAGTGTAATGATTATGGATTGGATGTGATGTTTTATTTGTTGTGACTAAAATAATTTATTTTGTCTTTTGTCTATTCTGCCAGTGCTCTCCAGCTGGTTACTAAGCGGGCAGTGTGGTCGGAAAATCACCCACACAGTTACTATCCCAAAGCAATTATAAATTTATGATTTTAATTATTAAAGTATATATAAAATTTAACATGAATCTATAATTAATTATTTTTTAAAATTAATACTGATTTGTTATTTTCTCAAATCATATCTATCAACATATTTTTTATATTCAGTTTTACATGTTATTTATGTTATTAAATTTATTATGGGCTGTTTTGGCAACATACCAAAAAAGTGAAAAGTGAACTTTTAACTTATTTTGGGTCACATCACTTAGGGGTGCAACTTGGGTTGGGCGAGCTCAGCCCGAGCAACTTGAACCCAGTTCGAATTTTTTCAGGACTTGGATAAGATATTTTCAAATTCGGTAAGAGCTTGGACAAAAATTCAAAAATCTGAATTAAATTTAGGCGGGCTTAGGCAAAGACGTTAAATAATCCGAGCAACCCGAAACTCGAATTATACATATATAGATATATAAAAATACTAAATATACATATAAATTATTAGTCATTACAGGATATTAAAGTAATTTAGACTATTAAATTATATTGAATATATATTATATACAAATAATATAAATCTTACTTTTTTTTTTTTTCACTCATAAATTCTAAGGACTACTATAGCGGCATCTCTCTTACATTATATAAATTATTTGTTTTGATGGTATTAATATTAAAAAAAATGTAAATAAAATCAAATTTTAATAATTTAATAATGTAACTGCCAAAAAAAAAAAAAACTGAAATTCATTTACAATTTGGACAATTTAGACAATTTGGGTTTAACTTGGGTTAAGCTTGGGTAAGTAATCTCGAGTTACAATTTAGGTCTAACCAAGTCTCAGTACAACTTGGGACTGGACAACCTCCCAACCAAATCGAATCTGCCTGAGTTGCACCCCCAACATCACTTCTCATATGAAAAAGTGAAAAAATTAAAAAAAAAATTAAAAAATTAACTTTAACTATCTTTTCGAAACATTCCTTTATCTTATACTATAATAATAATTATTTTATAAATCCGGTTGATTACATGATCGCATACGTAATTGTGTTGTCTAAACTGGAAAAAATATTGCTTACTGTGTCGTGATTTATGTTATTGAATTTAATATATCCTCCACTGCAGTAATAATTATTTTATAAATCTGATTGATTACATTATCGCATACGTAATAGTGGGGTAATATGTAATCGCATGCGTAGTAGTGAGATGATTTGAGAAGGTGATTAAAAGTTAATTTTTTAATTATTTTGATTTTTTTTGTTTTTTTTATTACTTTTTAATCCTTTTGTATATATAAAAATGTGAAAAGTAATTTAACTTAAAATGAATTAAGAGGTAAAAATTGACTTTTAATTGAGTTGCATTGCCAGTGTTTTTTAAAAATAAAAATAACCCGTAAACCAAACCGAAACCGAACCGTTTTTTCGGTTTGGTTCTGGTCCGGTTTTACAAGTGTAACGGTTTGGTCTGGTTCTCAAAATCACAGAACCGTTAGGATTGGTTCGGTTCTTGGATTTTCTTAGAATCGAACCAATCCGGACCGTGTACACCCCTAGAGCTCTCCTAGAACTTTCTTTGTAGAGCTCCAAATCATTTTTGCTATGTTGTTAAAAAAGTGTGTGATTGTAGACTTAAGGGTTGTTTAGGAATAGAATTTTTTAGTGTTTTTTTTTTTGATTTTTTAGTTAAAATATATGATAAAAAAATTAATATATTTGAGATAATTTTTTATAAAAAGATGTGTAAAAAAAAATAAATAGAAATAAATCTTTAAATTTATTATATTTGTTGACTTTTTAATTTTTTAATTTTTAAACTAAAATCACAACTTACCCAAGGAGGCCTTATAGTATCTTTTAATATGATCTGTATTGTAACGATAGGGGACAATCTAGGATTTCCATATATATATATATATAGAGGAAATATTGAATGTGTATTTATAATTATAAAAGAAATTGGCATAATTCCATAATTTTTGAATTATAACTAAAAAAAAAAAAATCATAACCAAACACAAAAAAAAAATATATATATATATATATATAAGTAAATATTTCAAAATAATGTCATAACTAAAGAAAAAAATTGACATAACTAAAGCACATATAGTATGAGGTGTTTATAATAAAATTACCTATATTATATATATATATATATTGTTCAACACTACCTAGCCTATATAAGTAATAAAATTATCCATATATTATATATATATATATATATTGTTCAGCGCTCTACCTAGCCTATATAATAACTTCTTGAACACATTGTGAAAAATTCAGCAAGTTTCTCTCCTATTTTTCTCTCTTTCTGTTTGTCTTATATTTATATCAATAATCATAAGTAATAATGGCTAATAATAAGGTGGTTCTGTTAGATTTATGGGCTAGCATGTTTGGGATGAGGGTGAGAATAGCATTGGCTGAAAAGGGCATTGAATATGAATACAAGGAAGAGGACTTGTGGAACAAGAGCTCACTGCTCCTTGAGATGAACCCGGTTCATAAGAAAATCCCGGTTTTGATTCACAATGGAAAATCGGTTTGTGAGTCCCTCATTGCTGTCGAGTACATTGATGAGGTCTGGAATGAGAAAGCTCCATTGTTGCCCTCTGATCCTTACCAAAAAGCTCAAGCTAGGTTCTGGGCTGACTATGTTGACAAGAAGGTGAGTACACTTGTTTTGTTGTGTCAAGGGTTTAAATTTTTTCTTACTTTTTAAAATTTGGTGTTGTTTGATAAAAATAAAAACAAAAATAATTTATTGGAGAAATTAAAAAAAAAATCCTAGGATTTTATCCTTTTAACAAATTAAATTCTGAATTTTTAATTTGACAATTTAAATCCTAAAGTTTTGATTTGTTTTCAATTTAAACTATTTGTCTATTTTTGTTAGGTAAAATTAATGGAAAAAAAAATGATATTTTAGTTATTAAACTCAATAAAAATGATATTTTAGACATTTCATGTATACTTTTACATTAAGTTTAATAACAAAAATATTATTTCTCTTTCGATTTTACTTAACAAAAATAGGCGAATGATTTAGATTAAAAGCAAATCAAAAGATTGAAATTTAAATTGACAAAATTAAAAATTTAAGATTTATTTTGTTACAAGTCTCAAGCCTTAGGGATTTTTTCTAATTATCCCTAATATATTTTATTACAATTGTTGTAATTTTTTTTTAAAAAATAAGTAAAAAGAGGTGATTGCCACACAGTGGTTGACATTGGTTTCTAGAGTGGGAGGTGGCTGGTGGTGGTTAGATGTGATTGCCGATCTGGAGGTGGTGACTGGAGGAGGTCAGCAGTAGTGGTGGTAAGAGGAGATTTTCGATAACAATGGCTGAAGATGATGGGTGGCTGGTGGTGAGTGATGGGAGGAGGGAGTAAAAGAAAGAAGAAGGGATGAATATTTGTATTTGAAACAAATAAAAATAATTTTTTTTTTGTTACAAATAAATTATTTATTTAATTTTTTGTAAATAATAATTCACTTAACTTGCCTATAATTTTTAAATTTTTTATAAATATAAAAAGATTACAAATGTAAATGTTACTCAATGGCCTCTAGTATTATGCCGAAACAAATTTGGAATAATTAGTGAAATTTTGAAAAAAAAATGATTATATATTGATAACAAAATTATAATTTATTTATTAATATTTATAATTTGTTTTTATTGATTTATAATTATTTTTTCAAAACTCTGATTTTTCCTTTAAATTTCTCCTGAGTCAAATCTATATATTGTTGGGATTTAGACCTGAATGTCTGATTTGAGTTACTTTATTTTATTTATTTTTTGTTTTATGTATTTATTTATTTATTTCTCGTGAATGGTAAAGCTTTGTTTGGTTGCCAAGAAGCCAAAGAAAATAAAACCACAGCTGAGAATCTTGTACAGTAACTGCCGTCCTCACATAATTACAAGATTTCAAGGCATGGAATCAAACTCACCGTCTCAATAAATTTTGACTTTTAGTTTATTTTTTATAATATTTTATTTTTTTAACATATACAAACTAAATAAATACATTGTAATATTTTATTTAAAAGTTTTATATTTTAATTTTTTAAGCATTATAAACTAAGGGCATATTTGATTAGTATTATAGTATCGGATTGAAACGGTTAGTTCATGTACTCACAATCCTATATTTGATTGTAAATTTTATTAATTGAATTATATGTGCGGTGGATATTCAATATGATAAAATTGACAAATTTTTCATATTGTGAGAGACTGGGGATTATAATTTAAATATGAAAAAAAAATGAATTCATAATAAATGGTTATCTCACTAATTTAATTAGATAACTAATCATACACTAATTAATAGAATTATTAATTTTTCACTGTTAATCCTATTAATCAAGGCCTAAGTGACTAATAATACATGTTTTGTAATAAATATTAGATAGATGTGGATTCTCACGAGTTCTGTTTCAATGATTTGAACCATTCATTTTGTCTGATATTTCGTGTATTTCATCAAAAAAATAAAATAAAATAAAGTCGATATAATAATAGTAACTTATTCAATTTATCACATTTGTTACCAAAAAAAGGACAACAATTGTATTTTTAAAAATAAATTATTCATTTTTTGATGACAAACATGATAAATTGAATCAGTTGCGATTATCGAATTAATATAATTTTATGTTGTTGAAATACACGAAATGTCTAACCTAATAAACAGTTTGAATTATCAAAGCATGAGCACTGGATAATAACAACATTTACTATTTTCTTAGTTTATTCTCAATCAAACACAATCAAACAAACACAATCTATCTGTAATGGAATCGTGCCACATTAATACACTAAGAAGAGAATCAAGATCCTCTCATTCATCTCTCTCCTTAATTTCCTATTTGTTAGGTTATTAGATTTGCTTTTGGGTTTAATTTTGATGATATGAACCGTTTACATTTTAAGATTTGTTGAGTATATCATACCTGTAAAAAATCAAATTGATTAGATATCAGAAATTACGTGTTCGAATCATTGAACTACAAACCATTTTTTAAAAAAATTTAATAAATAGTTTTTTGAACACATGCTTTCTAATATCCGATTAACTTGGTTTTTTATAAGTATGATATACTCAACAAATCTTGAAATGTGAACGGTTCAGATCATCAAAATTGGATTTAAAAGTGAGCCCAATGACCTAACAAGTAAGAAATTAATGAGAGAGATAAATAAGATGATCTTGATTCCTAGAAAGAGGGTTCTAACATAATTAAACCTATTACAAAATATCTAAGATACTACAATTATCAACATATGAAATGCAGATTTATGATATTGGGAGGAAGATACTATATTCAAATGTAGAAGAAGAGAAAGAGGAAGGCAAAAAGGGATTCATAGAATGTCTCAAGGTATTAGAGGGAGAGCTTGGTGATAAGCCATATTTTGGAGGTGAAGCCTTTGGCTTTGTAGACATTGCTCTTGTCACCTTTTACAGCTGGTTTTACACCTATGAGACACTTGGCAACTTCAGTCTAGAGCTAGAGTGCCCCAAGCTAATTTCATGGGCCAAGAGGTGCATTGAGAAAAATGAAAGTGTTTCCAAGTCTCTTCCTCACCAACACAAGGTATATGACTTTGTTTTGGATTTGAACAAGAAGCTAAAAGCAAGAAAATGAGCTTGTTAATACTATCATATTGGTTAAATAAAATAAGTTGGATCTAGAATCCCCAATTTGTTTCGAGGCACTTTTCTATCACAATGGATCTCTCTGGTCTAATCTCGTATGGTGGAAAGGGTCTCAGAATAGGGTACTGCGAGATCTGAATAGAGAATTCCCTACTTACTTACGATTATGCTTTGTGCGTAATTTTAATTTTTCTTTTTCTTTTTATTTCTCTTGTCTATGGTTGTTTGTGTTTGTTGTCTCTTTAATTGTAATAAAGAAACACTTCATTGTGTTTGTGACATGTTAGGGATTTAAGGAAAAAAAAAAGGAATGGGGGGCCTGTATGTTGGAAATGCTATTGTCTTGTTTTTGTCCTAATGAATTTTCCAAGTGCACAATGTGTTGTGAATTTCAAGACACGAATGTATGATGAGAGTGTATTGAGGAGGCTTGAGAGAGATATGTTGGAACAATCTTCTGTGTAAAATAAATAAATTAAAACAAATCAAACAAATAAAAATAAATCACTTACATAATTTATTTTATCGAACCGAATAAATATTTAAAAGATCAAGTTCAGTGTGTGACACTCTGTTCTTAAGACAGATTCACCCCGCTACGGTACTTACAGATAAATGGCGTCTGTCTCCCAGGATACAATGATCTTCACAAATTGTAGTAGCACTCCAAATAATTTCTATGGCGAACCAAACTTGTATTCTATACAATCAAAGTATTCCCTAAAATAAATATGAAGAATTATACAAAGAAAGAGCAAAATAAGAAGGAAACAGAATATTTTCTAGATGTTTTCAGATATTTTCGGATCCAAAGACTACTAGAAATGACCTCTATTTATAGGCAAATAATCTGCCCGAACAGGTATGAAACCAACCTGAACAGGTGTAATTTTGAATTGAATAGATGCAGTTTGAATTCAAACAGATCTGGAGGTAGATTCGAACAGATAACTACTGCTGGTTTAAATCTGTAACTACTGGGCAGTTTCTGGCAGTTTTATAACTGTAAAATAGTTTGAATCTGTTAGGAATATCAGACTGAAGAAGGTAAAATTTGGACAGAAAATTAATTTCAATGTTGACACAAAATTGGAATTTAATTTCATTAGGAATTTTTGAAAAAAATTCAAATAATTTTTATCCAAAAAATTAATATTAAAACCGACCCGACCCACAACCCACACCCGGCATGGCTCGGCTCGGCCAGACAACGGCACGCGCGCGCGCGTATAGTGGTTTGGGCTAAGGTTCATTTTGTCCATAACTCCTCATTTCTACAAATTTGGGGTGCCCCTTGGGGCCCAACCCAAGTTAGTACACCAAGAGCTTTTATACTCACAAAAACTCTCTTATAGTTTCAATGTGGGACAACCCATTTCAAGGAAACCCACATTTACTTCTTTAATTGTCCATTCCACAAATCTGAAAACGATGTCAACTTCCCATTCAATCATTAAATGGTTTTGACGAACCGTTTTCACCGTGTGACTTGTCATGTGGCAAGGAACACCTTACCTCTTCGAACCCACCTCAAAAGACGTGTGGACCCCACTCAATTTTGGGCTAAAAGTTGGCCTAAAATAAGCCTATAAAACCATTATTTCCAACAATCCCCTACGTGAATGGAATTTGACGGAAAGAAAATGCAACAATATGATCTAATTTCAGAGAGTACAAAAATTAGGAATATTCTGTAAATGATAGGTAGCTTTTGGCTTTGAACCTTCCCTTATGAGACATTATCGGATTTACTAGCTAACCAGTGAACATGATGTCTTGACCTGTTTAGCCGTTTGTGTAAACCAAGACAATTGAACTCACACAGTATATCACCAGATACAGTTTAGTTCTCACTATTGTTTTCATTTTGGCCCTGAACAACATGGTCTTTTATAAGTGCTCTAGAGAATTGTAACCCTTCACAAATCTCATAGAACTGGCCCAGTTCACACTCACATAGGTGATTCTTATGAAAAGTATCCTGCCATACTCCACTAGGTTTACCCAGATATAAGAATCATTAAAATTTTATTTAACCTAAAATGTTGTAGATATCACTATTTCATCATAGAAATGGGTAGGAGTTAGACTCCCCAGTGATCCTTATGAGTCATACATAACTCGGTTATCCCTTTGAACCTAGATCTTGGGATCTCCAGTCAACTAGGTTGGGTTGCCATTGTGGTAACTCTTATTTAATAAGCTTAAGTCTCATTCCCCTCGATGAATTTTCAACTAACTCTCTTGCTAACCCTTTGGTTAGTGGATCCGCTATGTTATCTTTAGACTTCACAAATTCAATGGTAATAATTCCATGAGAGAGTAGCTATCTCACGGTGTTATGTCGACGATGAATGTGTCGCGACTTACCGTTATACATATGACTCTATGCTCTACTAATTACTAATTGACTATCACAATGTATATATATAGCAGGCATCGGTTTTGGCCATATCAGAATATCTTCAAGGAAGTGGCGAAGCAATTCTGCCTCTTCTCCAGCTTTATCTAAAGCTGTGAATTCTGATTCCATAGTAGACCTAGTAATGCAAGTCTGTTTGGAACATTTCCAAAATACAGCTGCCCCACCAAGAGTAAAGATATATCCACCGGTGGACTTTGAGTCTCTAATATCCGATATTTAGTTTGCATCACAGTATCCTTCAAGTATTGCTCGATATCTAGTATAATTTAACCCAATGTTATGAGTAAATCGAAAATATCTTAAAACCCTTATAATAACTTTCCAGTGTTCTACTCCTGGATTACTCGTATATTTACTTAATTTACTTACTGCATAAGTTATATTTGGGGGAGTGCAGTTCATCAAGTACATTAAGCTTCCAATAGTTTGGGCATACTCTAATTGAAAAATACTTTTATGTACATTCTTAGAAAGAAACAAATTAATATCCCTAGGTATTCTAGCAATATGATCATCATCTTTGCTAAATTTGTCAAGTATTTTCTCAATGTAATGTAATTGTGACAAAGCATAACCTTTTGGTGTTTTGGTAATTTTCATACCAAGTATTACATCAGCTATCCCCATGTCCTTCATGTCAAAATGTTTATTCAACATTTTCTCGGTAGTTTTAATCATGTCATTATTACTACATGTGATAAGCATATCATCCACATAAAGATATATTATAACATAACCATTGCTAGTGTTTTTAATATAATCACATTTGTCATATTCATTAATTTTAAATCCATTTGTCATCATTGCTTTGTCAAATTTTTCATGCCATTGCTTTGACGGTTGTTTTAAACCATATAATGATTTAACCAATTTACACAATTTTTTGCTTTTCCTGGAACAAAAAACCCTTCTGGTTGTTCCATGTAAATTTCTTCATCTAACTCACCATTTAAGAAAGCCGTTTTCACATCCATTGATAAATTTCTATGTTGTACAACGATGCAATAACAATTAGCATTCTAATGGATATTATTCTAGTAACCGGTGAGTATGTGCCAAAGTAATCAAGACTTTCTTTTTGTCTAAAACCTTTGACCACAAGTCTTTCCTTTATATTTGTCAATTGATCCATCCGCTCTCATTTTTCTTTTGAAAATCCACTTGTACCCAAGAGGTTTACAACCTGGTGGCAAATCCATCAATTCCCAAGTGTGATTTTGCAGGATGGATTCAATTTCGCTGTTTATAGCTTCTTTCCATAAAGGAGCCTCAGGACTGGACATAGCTTCTTTAAAAGTTAAAGGCTCATTTTCTAACAAAAATGTTAGAAAATCTGGACCAAAAGATTTTGAGGTTCTAGCACGTTTACTACGTGTAGGTTCTTCTTTCTCATTTTGATCTCTTTCTTGCTCTTGTTCTTGATCTCGATCTTGATCATGACTAGTAATAGCATCATAAGATCTTTTATTAGTACTAGTCTCTTATCCAGTTTTATTTGGAAACACATGTTCAAAGAAAGACACATTCTGAGATACAATAATAGTATTTTATATGCATTTCGGAATGTTCTGACTTATGAATCAAAAACTGATATGCACTACTATTTTTGGCATAACCAATAAAAATGCAATCAATGGTTTTAGGACCTATCTTAGTCTTTTCAGGACTAGGAATAACCACTTTAGCCAAACACCCCCACACTTTTAAGTATTTGTAGGATGGTACTCTCCCATGCCATAATTCATAAGGTGTTTGATTTACTTTCTTTCGAGGTACTTTATTAAGTATATAATTAGCAGAAAGTATTGCTTCCCCCCACAAGTTCTAAGGTAATCTAGAACTTATTAACATGGCATTCATCATTTCTTTTAAAATCCTATTTTTTATTTCTGCAATTCCATTTTGCTGAGGTAAGTAAGGAGCGATGGTTTGATGAATTATTTCATGTTCTTTACAAAACTCACCAAAAGGTGATTCATATTCACCACCTCTATCACTTCTAAGTTTCTTGATTTTCTTACCAAGTTGATTTTCAACTTCATTCTTAAATTG